TAGAAGATAATATATTATAATAAAAGTATTAATACAAAGTATTATTTTATATCATGCCATAAAAAACTTTATTTAGAGCTTATGTGTATAGTAAAGTTTTTACACATTTTTACATATAAAAGTAACATTTTAATCGTTTCTCATAATAGTGGTATATTTTAATTTATTTTCAAAAGATATAAAATAATATTAAAAATATTTAAAATACATTTGGAGACTTTGTAGCAGACTTAGCAGTGTTCCGTTTAAAAATTTGTTCAGAGGCCCTTAGGAAAGATATCTCACGAAATAAAATAATGCATAGAAATGCATGTTGAGGGCCTAGAGAAAGTATTAGATTTTTAAATTATGTATATACATTATTAGTTTAATAGCATGTAGCAGTTATTATAGTTAGAATTTAAGCGTATAAATTTTTTAAATCAAAATTAATATATTTTATTTTAACAGGTTTCAATAATATGCAATTATATGCAATCACTGGAGTATAATAATATATAATATGGTAAGTAATCTAATTTTGATATTTCTCAACAATTAAGTATTTTCAAAACAACCATCTCGATCAGTATTTTGCAACAATTGAGTTGTTATCAGTTCTTCATGTTATCAAAATTGATAATCATAATATCCGTGAATTTGGATAACTTGTACTTCGAAACAACCATCTCGATCAGTATTTTGCATAGAATACTTTATAAATATATATAATTATATATATATATATATATATATATATATATATATATATATATATTTGTGTGTATACATTTATTTGTGTACACAAATATATTCATTGTGCAAATCTGAATTTTGTCTTGTTTTAACGTTTGGTTTGTTTAAACATGTGTATTAAACAAATGATATTTACCAAAAATTAAGATATGACTAGGCGTTCTTTTCTGTACCTAAATTATTCAGTTCCCTATCACAGTTTATCACAGATGTAATTTTTTTTTAACTTCCCGTAGGGTAAGTTATAGTAATCGCAAAAAAATCGAAAATGAAAATTTTGATATATCTTTACGTTTCAGAGGTTTCTGAATATTTTGGCATACCTTAGAAAAAATGGATGTATGTGTGTGTGTGTGTGTGCGTGTATGTATGTGTGTGTATGTATGTGTGTGCGGATACAAATTTTCGTCGACGATTTCGGGAACACGGATGAAGCAATTTGAATAATTTAAAAAACATTCGATTCGTATTGGTAAGGAGACGTGCTGATTAGTTTTTGGCGGAGGTAGGTCTAGCCGTTCCGAAGATATGGGGCAAAAAGTGCCAAAAACGGTACCTCAGTTTGTAAGAGAACGGAGCGTCCGATTTTAATAATTCAAAAAACAATTTACTTGTATTGACAAGATGAATAATTGATCAAATTTTCATAAGGGCAGGTCTAGCGGTTTCGGAGATTAACAAAAAAAGTAAAAAAAAAAAAAAAAATGCTATTTGGCGGTCAAAAATGATCATTAGACATATACACGTCAAATTATCAGATATTTTATAGAGATTTTAATAATAAGTATAAATTTTGTTTACATTCCTATGGGTTCCGTACCAATTTTACCCGTTAGACAGCGACGCGGCGCTTACGCGCCATATATTTTGTCTCTATGCAGTTTTTAAAGCAGTACGTTTGCTTTGAAAAAAAAGTTCAAATCTTCCAAAATATGTCAATAAATAAAGAAAACATTTTTTTTCAAAAAAAAAAATTAAAAAAAAATCTTTTTAATTTTTAAAAAAAAGGTAATTTTTGTCCAATTTATAGTTTCTCAAAAATTTTATTTTTTTCTAAATAATTTTTTTCAAAAATGTTAATCGTTTTTAAAAAAATAATAAATTTTTGGTACGGGAAGTTCCAGCAATTTGCCTTAAGGCACGATGCCCTAATTGCTTAAGACAGAATTCTACTTACAGCTAGTTATAGAAATTATTTTAGAAAAATTAACAAGTTCGTAAATTTTTAGTTACTATATTCACCTTCATACGTAAAGGAGTTTTGCCGAGCACCAAGAGATGCCACATGCGGTAATAAATATCATAGATAAATATTTACATACGTGTTATGAACCTAAACTACGAGTAAAATACATGTGATAACCATTTTCGTTATGATTTGAAATTTTAAAGCAATATTATTAATACTATACTCATTTGTAAAATTTCATATTACCCTCTTTGTTTAATTTCGCATAATGGGTGAATTGTCCTCAAGCTTGGTTAAACTTCAACTCGATTCATGGAAGAAAGTAAGAGATTTCTCATTGCCATTTCACGCGCAGTGCCGAAATGAGCTATTTTTAATTGAAAACATTACATTTGATCTATATTTTCTACTAAAAATAGACATCACTGCTGCCGATTCAGGTTCTGTCCAGAGCGAGATTCGCACTCACGAGTCCGAAAGCTTGACCATTGGAGAGTACCTATATTCCACATACTAATTCGAAAACAAGACAATGTAATAAACTTTTCCTATATAAGGATGTTATCATAATTAAACGGAAATTTGCTTATGCTTATCACGCTGTTTATAGGAAGGGGTACAGTTATCGCATAATGACTATGAATCAGTGATAGCTTCCGTTTAAATCACTTTGGCGGTTAGTTCAGGTATCGTGAAAATAATCTGTTGACAACAAATTGAAGTATTTTATTCCAAAATGATTAACTATTAAAATTCGTCGAGCGATAATATTCATTATTATTCTTTATTACAAAATTCAATATATTCGGAAACAACGAATAACAAAACTTCAGTATTATTTACGAATAAACCTATATTCAAATATACAGTGGTACCCCGACATACGAGTTTAATTCGTTCTTAATCACGCTCGTATGTCGAATCGCTCGTATCTCGAAGCAATTTTTTCCTAATAAATACACTGATATGCATTGAATTCGTTCAACGACTGTGGTTTTATCAAGTTTTTTGAATATTAAAATAAATTTACTATTTATTAATTTAATATTGTTTTTTCCTGTTCATGCATAAAATTGTGGAAATGAGTTATAGACATGTTTCGTTTAATAACTTCCATGCTCGAACTGTTGCAAATTTTCGGGGGGTGACTTTTAGCCATGAAGTTTTAGAGCTTAGAAAGCTGCTTATAAATTATTGTAAAGCTCTTTAACCTTCAACTCATTTGTTTGAACACAGTGCAAGTCTATGTGTTACGCTCGTACATCCTTGCCCATAGATAAAAGAAGAAGAAGAATTATTTTGAATTTTTGACTATACATTATAATAGAGATTGTACAGTTACATATGTAGAATTTTCGTTTTCTAGTTTTTGCAAACAAAAATTTACTTGTCCTTGCCATTATCAATTTTTAATAATTTTCGCCCTAAATCAAGAGTCATTTTTTTGGACCCATGGATATAAAAGTAAAATTTTTGTTTGTTTGCAAAAAGTAGAAAATGAAAACTCTACATATATAACTGTACATCTCTATTAATGTATAGTCAAAAATTACAAACGGAAAAATAATCTTTAAAATTTTTGCATGGGTGGTAAATCGTAACTATACAATTAATATTAATATAGAATTGAAATAACTAACTTTAAAATAATTTACTATCACAAAATATTTCTATGGGCGAGGAAAACAATGTTACAACTGACGAAATTTTAACATTTTTCGAGAAAACTCTTACTCGCTCAAAGCTCGTATCTAAATTTTTGCTCGTAAGTCGAAGCAAACAAGCTCTTTCGGAAGCTCGTATCTCGAAACACACGTAAGTCGGGATACATCGTGAGTAAAATTCTGCTCAGTGTAAATCTTACAGTTTACAGACCACGTGGTGGATTATATAAGACAGGGACACATATAGTTATATCGCCACAGAGTGAGGTAATAATATCTAATTAAAATTTAAAATTTTTGCATGGGTAAATCGTAACTATACAATTAATATTAATATAGAATTGGAATAACTAACTTTAAAATAATTTACTATCACAAAATTTTTTATCGTCGAGAAAGCAATGTTACAACTGACGAAATTTAAACATTTTTCGAGAAAACTCTTACTCGCTCAAAGCTCGTATCTCAAATTTTGCTCGTAAGTCGAAGCAAACAAGCTCTTTCGGAAGCTCGTATCTCTAAACATTCGTAAGTCGGGATATCTCGTGAGTAAATTTTCTGTTCAGTGTAAATCTTACAGTTTGCAGCCCACGTGGTGGATTGGATTATATTATATAAGACAGGAAAATCATTGTTACAACTGACGAAATTTTTCATATTTTCATTTTGTCATTAACATTTTTTCGAGGAAAACTCTTACTCGCACAAAGATCGTATCTCAAAATATGCTCGTATGTCGAAGCAAAAAAACAAGCTCCTTTGGAAAGCTCGTATCTAGTAAGTGGGGGCACCACAGTATATCGTGAGTAAGTTTTGTTGTGTTCGGTGTAAATCTTACAGTTTACAGACCACGTGGTGGATTATATAAGACAGGGACACATATAGTATATATCCCCACAGAGGGAGGTAATATCTCATTAAAATTTGGAGGAGGAGGAATATCTGTTCGCCCGTATACGGTTAAGTTAACCTTATTTGGCTGCGGCTGTTTCTAAATATGGCTTTGGGGCCGGACTTATTTTAGTGAGTGCCTATTAGTTAACTAATGATTTTCGCGTTGTTATGACGCAAAACGATTTGTGTAACTCAATATTTTCCTTTCGATCTTGTGTAGTAATAATTAGAATCTATTTTTACCGCGAAAAGCTCTATTTATCATCAAATTTAGAGCTATTTCTCGCGGAGGATAATAAAGTCATATAGGTCGGGTTACTACAAAATTGGATATTTGACAGTGATACGACGTATCCGTTCCTCCCTTTCTTGCTTTTGACTTGGAACAAGTGCGACAGCATCAAGTCGTGCTAATCTTATTCCTGTCGTCGCGAATGGGCGGTCCTTCGCCGCGTAGCGAGCCGAACGCGCGGAGCCGAAGCCGAGCACGTTGCGCTATCGACTCTCATGACGAGACGGATCAGTTTAGTGTTCTGCGCAAAGAACTTCGCTTGGTAGCGATACTGTGTAGTGTGATCTGTGCTTGTGTGTTTGTGCCTCTGTGCTCTGTGAACACAGTGCCGTGAGTGACGTATGTGATTATAGATTCTTCTAGTGGACTGGATTCACGATTTACCATGGATTATAACATGGGATTACTCAGTGGTGATACACCATCTGAAATTTACGGAAATCCCAATGTCACCCTTGGCAGATCTTCTAGCGGCCTCACACAACAAATGTCTCGAGCCGGCATGCTCCAAACAAATTGTGGCGGTCTTAATAGAGGTCTTAAAAGGCCTAGCTCAGATTCTTGTTTTGATGACAGAGGAATGGGCTCGGGAATAGGGCTTGATGCCTGTGGCGTACAAGACGTCGTAGATGACAGTTATACGTCAATACAACAAAAGAAATCGCCACCTTCCAATGGGAAAAAGACTAAGGGGCGCGTTAAAATAAAAATGGAATACATAGATAATAAATTAAGGAGATACACGACATTTTCTAAGCGAAAAACTGGCATTATGAAGAAGGTACGATTTGCAAACTAAACATAACCTTATCAGATGGCTTAGTTGTCAAACATAACATCGTGACCGCTCGTGGACCCTCGCGTGTTCTCGTGCGGTCTCATGGGGATACCCATGTGAATCGGAACGCTCTATCTTTAACAAACATGTTATTGTCATTTTTAACTTCCCGTAGGGTAAGTTATAGTAATCGCAAAAAAATCGAAAATGAAAATTTTTATATATCTTTACGTTTCAGAGGTTTCTGAACATTTTGGCATACCTTAGAAAAAATGGATGTATGTGTGTGTGTGTGTGTGTGTGTGTGTATGTGTGTGTGTATGTGTGTGTGTATGTGTGTGTGTATGTATGTACGTGTGTGTATGTATGTGCGGATACAAATTTTCGTCGACGATTTCGGGAACACGGATAAACCGATTTGAATAATTCAAAAAACATTCGATTCGTATTGATAAGGAGACGTGCTGATTAGTTTTTGGCGAAGGCAGGTCTAGCCGTTCCAAAGATACGGGGCAAAAAGTGCCGAAAACGGTAACTCAGTTTTTAAGAGAACGGAGCGTCCGATTTGAATAATTCAAAAAACATTTTACTTGTATTGACAAGATGAAGAATTGATTAAATTTTCATGAAGGCAGGTCTAACGGTTTCGGAGATCAAATGAAAAAAGTAAAAAAAATGCCATTTGGCGGCCAAAAATGATCATTAGACATATGCACATCAAATTATCAGATATTTTATAGAGATTTTAACAATAAGTATGAATTTGGTTTACAGTCCTATGGGTTCCGTACCAGTGTTTACGCGTTAGGCGGCGACGTGGCGCTTTACGCTCTTTGATAATTCGTCTTTATGCAGTTAAAGCAGTACGATTGCTTTGAAAAAAAGTTTAGATCTTTCAAAATATGTCACAATAAGGAAAATATTTTTTTTTTCAAAAAAAAAAAAAATAAAAAAAAATTTTTTTTCGAAAAAAAAATTTTTTTTCAAAAAAAAAGTAATTTTTTGTCCAATTTATAGTTTTTCAAAAATCTTATTTTTTCGAAGTAAAATTTTTTCAAAATTGTTAATCGTTTTTTAAAAAAAAAATAATTTTTGGTACGGGAAGTTCCAGCAATTTGCCTTAAGGCACGATGCCTTAATTGCCTTAAGACAGAATTCCACTTACAGCTAGTTCTATTTTTATTTAATTCATTAATATATGTTGTTTGACTAAATTAATCTCTTTTCATATTTGATTTTAATCACTTTTAAATATTATGACTATTATTGAACGTAATTTCATTTTGTTTTATAAAGTTTATCAATTCAGTATACGTTTGATAACAATGAATGTTTATTATAATACAAATTAATTGCAATAGTTAATATAATATATCGAATTATTGATTTGTTTTTTAGCCTTTATCTTGTAAACAGTTATTGTCTTCAAAAATATTATTCAATTACATGTACCAATTGTTATTGATTTATATTATGATCACTTTCGGCAAATAACATGTCGCGACACTTAAATCGAATATCCGCGACTTATTTTCGGTTATAATCTTAATAATAATAATAACATAATTATTAATAACATATCGTGGCTGTATTTGGATTTTGCTCGATCAGATTGATTTTTGAAAATGAACTCTTTCATTAACAGTTGTGCAAATAACATTATTAATAAAAAAACAACATTGGACTATTTTTAAATCAATCGATAATTAATATAAACAAATATAGTTATCTGACAAATATATGCGTAACAAATATTATTCGCATATGTTTTTGTAACCATACATGTATATATTGATATATGTTCATATATATATATATATATATATATATATATATATATATATAGTATATATGTATGTGTATGAATATTATGTATGTATATGGTATTCCATGGTATACTGGTTAAGCTCATTCGTGAGCCTGGATAACCTGACATCATGCAGTAGTGATGTTCATTTCTGCTTAAAAATATAGATGAAAAATATCTTCACTCTTTTTTTCGGGCACTACGGTGTGAAATGGCAATGGGAAACCTTTCACACAATTCTTCCCTGAATCAAGTTAGAGTTTAATTCATCTCACGGATCTGCTCTTACTACCCATATTTTTCAAATGTATATATGATGTAATTAGCTGCCAATTCGTTGCATTAAAAATTTGTTAATATTTACACTTGTTTATTTTAACGTTTCATTCAGCAAATCTAAATTGCAAAATATTTTTTAATAGATTTATTGATATTTCTAAAAATTGCCCGAAAGAACTAATCATGAAATTAAAAATTAGGTTATATATATATTAGGGTGGTCCTTAATGTGGACATTTTCCAATTTACTTGCTCCCATGGGCTCATATGCCTCCAAATTGATAAAAAATCCAATTTAAATAAAAGTTTTGTATGGAAATAGCATGAAAAAATTTTCAAGAGTTTTAAAAATGTTTTTTAGATATAACTTAGCGAACAAATGAATGAGTTTTATTCAAAATTCGACGCTCTACAAAATAAATTGTAAAAAACCTATTTTGTAGAGCGTCGAATTTTCAATAAAAAATGACACGAATTGCCACTCTTAATTCATTTGTCGCTAAGTTATACCCAAAAAAACATTTTTAAAATTTTCTAAAGTTTTTCCATGCTATTTCCATACAAAGTTTGATTGAATTGCGCTCTATCTAAACGTTAATATTAAGAGCTAAAACTTCTAGAGAATTGTTTTTTATCAATTTGGAACCATTTGAGTCCCTGGGAGCAAGGAAATTCGAAAATGACCATTTTAAGGACCACCCTAATATATATATCTATATATATAAAAGAGGATCGCTTTATGTGCTAACACTTATAACTCACGAACGGCTGAACCGATTTAGATGAAAATTGGCAGGGAGGTAGTTTAGAGCCAGGAGAAGGACTTAGGATACTTTTTATCCCGATTTTCAGTTTAATTGATAGTATATTTATATATATATATATATATATATATATATATATATAAAAAATACTAGCTAGCCCGGCCACGCGTTGCTGTGGCTCAGTAATTGGTGGCAGAGAGGTAGTTTAGAGCCCGTTTTTCATTCTAATTCAGAATTAATTATTTATAAACTATCCATGTAGTTTATTCAATCTATGATACTATATATATATATATATATATATATATATATATATATATATATATATATATATATAAGGTGAAGTGAAGTTTAATTATAATGCCGCGACCAAGACTATATATATATATATATATATATATATATATATATATATATATATATATATATATATATATATATATATATATATATATAAGGTGAAGTGAAGTTTAATAATAATGCCGCGACCAAGACTGAAAAAGAGCATTACTTACATTTACATGTACATTTTGTCGAATAACTTATTCCCAGTTATAATTTCCCAGAATTTATCAAAGAATGGTTAGTAATATATGAAGGTACGGGGTTAAAAGTTTCACGACCAAAGTGTCAAAATCCAGTAAAGCTGAAGCATTGTTTAACAACATTATTTGAAAGTGAAGGAAGAAAGATGTATAACCAGCTATAACCTTGATTCTTATGACTTTGATATTGGGAGATAAACGGTCATCTTTGAAAATCCATAGTAAAAGTATTTTCTTCTGTTGGTAGCTTTTTAGCATTAGTTAAAAATGAAATTATTTTGTAAAATACCTTTAAAATTAAAATAAGACATTAAACCTGTTTGCCATCTGGCCGTTCCAAGTTACCCCGCCTATAGGGTAAAAAGGTCTAGATAACGAATTTTTGAAAGACAGCAAAAAAAGCACATTTTTAAAATGACGAAGTCTGTAGTTTTACTGAACGTAGTCAGCTAATCGTTCGTTTGAAATATTTTTCATTCTCTAGAAATTGTTTAGAACATACCTTACTTAGCAAAACAACGTTTGCCGGGTCAGCTAGTATATATATATATATATATATATATATGTATTTTTATTCATTTATTTATTTTCACTAGTATACGTATCCAAGAATATTAATTTGAAAATAGTGTATCTCTATAGATTATTTTCAAATATTTAAAAGAAGATATATAATTTAGGTCAAAAATCGTGCCAAGATTCTAATAGAAAGATTTATAAATGTAGAGTTATTCCATTATGCTTAAAAATACCATATACATTTAAACACCTTCAACAAACTTTTTCAATGTTACATCATCTGAGATGTTATATATATATATATATATATATATATATATATATATATATATATATATATATATATCGGCATCACATCATTGTCTATCACATAACACGCGATTGATACAGATAGATTAATACTTATATAATTAAAATTATCACTTCACTATTTACCAAGATTGATTATTATTTACCAAGATTATTACCAAGCAAACTCCAAATATAGTACAAAACTAAATTCTTAAGATTTAGTACAAGAATTTTCCTCTATCACATCATATTTAAACATCCTGGGGGGTCGTCCATTAATCACGGGAGGTTTTTAGGGGGAGGAGGGGTTTGACAAAAAATCACTATATATCACGTGAGGGAGGGGTATAATAAGATATCACGTGTATTCATTTTTTACCTGTTTTTTTTTTTAAATCCAAACATTTTCATCAAAAAAACAAAAATTTTACAATTTTTTCTCGTAACCAAAATACACGTGATGTTTGCTGGCGGAGAGAGGTTATTTTTGAATATCAACACTTATCACCAAGGGAGAGGGGGGGTCCAAAATCCTTAAAAAATTGATCACATGATTAATAGACGCCGCATTATCATGTTTAATTCGGTAAAGATAGATGTAAATACATAATATGAACGTATGATAAAAATTATCGACTCAATGAACGAACAACAATTATTCTAATTATAAGACAATTTTACTAAAAACCTCTGAAACATATCAATATAAAAAACTAACGTTTTAAAGATGGCAAATTTGAATTCAAATTAGATAAGAGTAAATATTTAAATCGCAGTAATGAATATTTTTTTCTGTTTTAAAAAACACAAAATTCTAACTCGAAATTTCAGTTGGTATATAAATCAAACATGATGATGCATTTTGATAGAAAATTCTAGACAAAAAATATTAAATATGCGAATGAGCGACTGCAAAAAACGATGTATTGTATTACAATCCAATATTTTAACTAAATTTAACGTGAATGTCACAAGAATTAAACACAAATTATAAGTTGAAACAATATATTGAATAAATCATGAATGAATTTTTGAAAGAACTGAATTTAAATTTACACTAGAGCTATTGTTAATTTAAATCTAAAGCTTAAATAACGTTATAATAATATTTACATATATATGCTTTATATAATGTATGCGAACAATATATATATATATATATATATATACATATATATATATATACACATATATATATATATAAATATAATGGCTGGTCCATCTAGTGGCTTAGTGATATAGTGATCTTACGGTTTAGATATTTCTGAAAGAAAACATATAAAGTATTATACATCGCTAGAAAGGTCTCAAAATTCTTAGTTTTTTTCCCATATATCGCAACTTCGAATTCCGCACGACGTGGCCTACAGGCAGGTTGCTATCGATAAATTCCAATTTTTAAATGGGCCACACAGGACAATAAAAAATAAAACATTACAATAACAAAAATAGTTTGTTAATTAACATATAGAAAATAACCAATATAAAGTAAACATTTTTTTTATTGTTTTTCCTGATGTGATACTGTGAAAAAGAAAAATTCAAAAAAATGGTTGCTGAATGATGACACACAACCGTGTCGAAACGTATAAATATTTTATTATTTATTTGTTCTCTTTTATTTCGACGATTGGCTGAAAATCAACATTCAAGAATATACATTCTTATATTTTTCATATATATATGCACATCTGGTTCGAATAGAATCAGTGGCGTTGTGCTAATATTTTTTTACCGGAACGCTAAAATTGAAAAACCGGTTCAAAAATCGGTTGTCATGTATACCGGTTCCGTCTGAAAAGAAAAAAAAACAAAAATCATTACAAAAGCCATTTTTTGCATATATATGTATGTTTATCACATATAATAGGAACATTTAATAAAAATTAGTTAAATTATAAATTTTAAATAATGAAATTCACTTATAAAATGTGTGTAGCAATTTTTTTTTAATTTCTTTTGCCGGAACGCATACCGGCCCAAAAATAATTTGTCGGAACGACGTTCCGGTGCGTTCCGGCTCGACAACACCACTGAATAGAATGTAATATCAGTATTATTAGAATTTTATTCTGATTATAATAACTTGTTCTTATGATGACAAACTATTTCAGGCATACGAGCTTTCTACGCTAACTGGAACCCAAGTCATGCTTTTAGTGGCTTCAGAGACTGGACATGTGTACACATTCGCTACGCGAAAGCTGCAGCCCATGATCACATCAGAAGCTGGTAAGGCTCTCATACAGACGTGCCTGAATTCCCCTGATCCGCCGACCGGTAATCAAGGTGGTCCTGGTGGCCAGGGCGGCGACCAGAGGATGTCGGCGACAGGTTTCGAGGAGACGGAGCTCACGTACAACATCGCGGATGAAGATACCAAAGTAAGACAGTTAGTATACGGCTCTGGCGCAGGCATGTCGCAAGCGCATGCGCAGCACGTTCAGCAACAGCAACAACAGCACTATGGCGGTCATTTAGACGGCGGTCCCATGTCCGCCGTGGGCATGAGTCCGCCAAATACGGGTGGCGGCATGATGGCCGGGCCCGATCAGTCGCCAGCCGGTTATCAGCAACAGCATTGCCCCTCGCCTTTGCCGCATCAGGCACAAGGCTCCTACTTGCATCAGCACCATAACCCGCATCAACAAACCCTCCACCAATCCCACCACAGTCACCATCACCAGCAGCACCACCATCATTCACATGCACACCATCAGCAACCCACGCACTCGCACATGCATCATCATCAACAACAGCAACGATAGTCTATTAAACTTATATAGGCTTCATTCGCGACGAAAATTATTTAATCTAAACCAAATTTTAAATATAAGGAATAAGAAAGAATTTTATAAAATAATTTATTAATTTATAGGGTTTAATTTCTAAATAAATATTAATAATTCATCACCGAGTCACGTGACAATTTTCCGAATGAATTAATAATATATTCAAAATTACATTTATTGTACTACGATGAACAATTTTTCAAATTTGGAAAATCTTTCCAATTTGTGAACAAATCTCGTCGTTATTGAGGCCTGTTTGTCTCCAAACTAAGCCAATTTACAAAAAAAACGAAATTCGCAAATATCGAGCATTTGCGAACGTTTATTTTCATTCGTAATTTAAGGGGCACAACTAGTTTAACCGCCTAAAAAAAGGTGATTTTTGGGAATTTCTATTAAAAAAAACTACTTTATCAGTCATTTCAAAATTTTAGTGATATATTTATACATGTTTTAAGAATACATAGTAAAAGTTTTGAAGAAAACAATTAAATATTTTTTAAGTTATCGTCGATCTCCAACGGCGTGACAAAAAAAGGCCCTTAACTGCTGCAGTGATTCCGGCCTTCTACGTGGATGAAATTTAAAAAAAAATCGCGGTAAACTAGATAATATTGTCTGTAAAATGAACTACGATAAAAAAAATAAATCAAAAATTGACAAAATGGCGGCGTTTTGAAAAAAAGTCGAATTTTACCCAAAATTTTGGTCGTTTTTCGACTGCCAAATTTCGATTTTCGATCCGATCAAAAAATCGATAGTTCATTTTACGGCGAACTATATGCAGAACATGTAAAAAAAATTTGATAGTGATCGGATCATTCGTTTTTGAGTAATCACTGCAGCAAATTCGGAAAATGTTGTTTCGAGAAAAACGCGTTTAAAGATAATATGGTCGTTGTACTATATACTATATGTATACTTTTTAAATGGCTGTAACTCAAAAACTATTTGAGATATCGATTTGAAATTTTAATATGTATAAACAAAAATCGTTTTTTCAAAATTTCATACTAGTTGTGCCCCTTAAAAAAAATCCCGAAATTCGCAAATAGCGATCATTTGCGAACGTTCAATTTTATGCGTAATTTTAATAATCATCTGTTTTGTCGTTATGCCAAATTATACAAAATATAGATTATTGTAAAAAATGAAGATACGTTTCATGTGCCATATACATTTAAATCCGCTTTATGATCTTATGGTGTTCAATACACGATAAAATCGATATAGCCTGCAAATATATTGTTATAATTTAGGCATAACGATAACATTTTCTATAACTTCAATTCATTCATTAGTATGTATACGACTTGTTTTAGCCAGTTTTTCATATACTGTAAGTAATAAAAAATCAGTCACTTGAATCAAGTAATATAGGATGATGATGCATACGTACGATGTGCAAAACATATATTTTCAACAATAAACGAATGAATTTCTTAAAGACGAAGATTTAACATTTTTGTATTTTTAGGCCCATTTTATTCTTTTCGTATATTAGATCTAATGCGATTTTTATTGGGGTTTATTTTTGTAAAAGTATGCTTTTAGCAACAGACTTTTAGTGAACACGTTTTCGTCGAACAGGTCATTGTTATTCATCTGTGATTAATAACGTTATTGACCATATGGTCGTGCAACCTTGACTACCTCAAACATATGTATTAAAATCTCACGCTATTACTTTTTAGGCGTTTATTACACACTTTAATGCACTATAGCATCGTAATTATTGTCGATTTCTATGTGTCATCGAATGAATTTAGTATATTTTTTATTTAAATATGTAAATCATGATCAAATTTATCTCCGCAATCCGAAATTCGTACTCTCATGCTCCAAATTTATTATATTATTTATGAATCGATTGAACTCGTTGTATTGCGAACTTGTCCTATTTCAAGATATAAGTATTATTCCTACTATTGGATAAGCTTGTTGTGTGGTACAGAAACTGCGGAGGAAATTACGGAACAAATATCGTAAATATGTTTATATCTAGATATGCGTGATAATCACATGTAGAGATACACACGAATAGACAGTAATATATGTATATAAAAAGTTTGTATTGAAGCGTAGGAAAGCAAGTTTTAGAACTACCGCTGCTTGGCGCCGCCAATATACTAAATATATATTTTCGACCTACAATTTTTATTTTCGTATTTAGTCGGTTTTTATTATTGTTGCTTTGTATACCATTTGATACATGAATCAATTATTTTTAATGTATAATTTTGTAAAAATCATTTTGGCAAATACTTACATGATTTGAGTAGCACCGGTCAATTATGAAACAGTTTTACTTGCTTGGTATAGATTATTTGAAAATTTGAAAAATGTTTTTGTATCAATAAACGCTTTTTTTAAATGCATGTCTATTTGTCATAATCATTGTAATCTCAACTTAATAATGTAACGCATATCAAATCGATTATTTTTATTAAATAGTTTGGCAAATATTAGTATGGTTTGAAGTAGCCCCAGTAAATTATGAAACTGTTGCAATTTTTGGTATAGATCATTTGAAAATATTTTTGTACCATTAATCATTTAGCTTAAATTATAGCCACAGTTGGAATTTTTTATAAATAATATGCATATACATTCGTGTATCTCACAGGTTTTCAAATATTTTTGTGTCGTGGACCCCCAATTTGTCAGATATCGATTTTTTATCGCTGGCGTGTGGACTTCCCGAATGTTGTTATGAACCCCTGAGAGTCCTCATTAGGACCGGACCTTTTTGAAGAATCACTGGTGTATCTCATAATCTTTGTAATCTCGATTCAATATTTTAACGTATGATCAATAGGTATTAGAATTGATCTACTTCAATGATTGAAATGCTCGTGCTTATCAAGCCCAACCATTTTGCGACCACAAATCGAATGCCTACTTATGCTACAACTTACACTTTTTATTATAAAGTACAATACTTCTATATATTTCTAAATATTGTATGACTTTTTATTAAAGATAGTATGATATAAGTGAATGATATTAACGTGGTGTATTGTGATCTACTACCGTGAACCCTCATTTCCATTTTTTGCAACCCGGTATTTTATTTTCGCTGACGCATGGACTTCCTGAATGTTGTCATGGCCCCCTGGGAATTTTACTGGTGTATCTCAATCATTGTAATCTTGGTTCATTGTAGAGTTGATTTAATTCAATGATTTACATACTCGTGCTTAGTAGGTCTTTTCAAGCTCAACCATGTTGCAATCACAAAACGAATGCCTACTTATACTACAACTTACATTTTTAAGAAAAAGAACGATATTTTTACTTATTTCTAAATATTATATGCCTTTCACTACCCGGGTAGTATACTATCCACTACCGGTTTATCACACAAAAATTCATCATCAGCTTTTATATAGATTTATAGCATAAGACATACATATTGGAAATTGCAGTCTTTTAAACAGTATAACACATTCAGAAAGAATTAATATATAGTATCCGCGGTAAAAAAACAATATCACCGTGGATTTTTCCACCGAAAATAATTGTTACAATAATGTTGCCCACAATTTTTATAATTTCGTACTATGTATTAAGTGTTTTCAGTAATAATAATACCGATTTTTCCACCGAAAATAATTGTTACAATAATGTTGCCCACAATTTTTATAATTTTGTACTATGTATTAAGTGTTTTCAGTAATAATAATACCTAAATTACATTTTTCTTAATAATAATTCGATATACATTATATTACTTAAGTTCATATTTCAAATGAATTAATTTGTCATATCACGTTCATATGTGCACTATTCAATCTACGATCAACGAAATTAGTGCAGTAAATGAAGAGGAAGAAGGGTGTAATCTGTGAAATTTTGTGCTGTGTTTCAATTTGCATGATATTTTGGAATCTTTTGAACCAACAGTAGTGACTACCGTGACCGTCATTTTCCTTTCGCGGACACAATTTTTTTTCGCAGACGCAGAGAATTTCGTACTATGTATTAAGTGTTTTCCGTAATAATAATGTCTAAATTACATTTTTCGATATACATTATATTACTTAAGTTCATATTTCAAATGAATTAATTTGTCATATCACGTTCATATGTGCACTATTCAATGTACGATCAACTAAATTAGTGCAGTAAATGAAGAGGAAAAAGGGTACTGTGCTTCAATTTGCATGATATTTTGGAATCTCTTGAACCAACGGTAGTGACTACCGTGGACCGTAATTTTTTTTTTCGCAAACTCAATTTTTTTTGTGGACCTCCGTGTGTTGTCATGGACCCCAGGAGGTCCACTTCAGGAACCACTGTGTATCATATAATCATTGTAATCTCGATTCATATTTTAACGAATGACCGATATGTGTTAGAGTTGATTTAATTCAATGATTTAAATGCTCGTGCCTGTTTCGAGGACTTAATTTTTCAAGTGCGTGTCGATGAATTCGAGCCACCCATACACGTTCTTGTGACGTTTCACCATTCACTTAAGCGTTTCGTTCTTTACCTTTGGGCGAGCGGTTTATATGTTCGCCAACCTCTTTCGAGTTGCGCGCATTACACTGTTTTGTGTGGGCTACCGCCTGTGTTCTTGCGTTGCG